TCTGAGGGGCAAGGATAATACCTGCTCCTCTCTGCCGAAGATTCCAGGGGGCAGGTGGCTGGCCGGGGCTGGGTGCTAGTTGTTGGTCAGGCACTTCAACAGGAAGCGGAAGGTGAACCAGCCGAAAGTCTGGTGCCCCTGCCTGGGCTTGGCATTGGGGGCTTCTCCTGACAGGAACAGATGGGTCGGGGTCTTGTATTTCAGTAAATATACGCTGGTGGGGATAGAGGCGGTGGTGGAGGTGGTGGTGGTAGACACGGCAGAGGTGGAGGTGGTGGTGGTGAGAACGATAGCAGTGATGGCGCTGGTAAGAGGCGACCCAGGCAGTGTGTGTTCTGTAGATTTAAGTTCACACCCGGTCCTGTGATTTCTGTTTTGTGTGTTCATTTCCCTGGCAGGAGATGGGAAAAGTCTGTATGTGAAACTCAGCTGTTTCAGATATAGGGTAAACACTTGGTAACCATCCGTTTTTCATCACTGTAAAGCTGCCCCCCCCAAATCATTATTTACTTAGTAAAGGCAGGGTCCTTGGGGGTGGGGAGATGTCTGCATAATGTCCCAAACCCTTTATCTTCCATCATGATCAGCCTAACAGCATCCATTTCTTCCGTGGATATCGTTTAGAGGGAGAGATGTCTATCCGCATGCCCTCAGCAGGCACACTGAGTCATTACGGACACGTTCAAGGAGGGCACGCCTCAGCTGAGTGACGCAGGTTATCATTTGTGTGTGATGTTTTTAGAGTTCATTTGTTATGCATGGCCTAGGGGACCCAGAACTTACTCTGTTCTCTTAGGGGTAACATGCAGGTTACTTCAAGAGCTTATTACTTGACGGCTTTACAAACTTTTTTGGTCATTGTGGGGTTGCAAGCTACAGAGGGGGGGGGGTGTGCTTGTGTGTGAATCTTTCCTATATTTGGAATGGGCTGATTTTTTTTTTGATAGATTGTTGGCTGCTTGGAATTGCAGATGCATCATTAAGTTACTGCATTTAAATTTAGCTCTTGTTCTCACTTTGGAAGGGAATGGAATGTTTGAATTATTTCACCATGAAGAGAAAGCAATTAGAAAATAGATCCTCATGACTTATCAAAATAGGAAGTCTAGCCAGTGAGTCTCGGAGGGCCTGCGCGTTTGACTCCAAGCAGGAGGCTCTCTGAGAGCACTCTGAGTGTGGAAGAAGTTACAGCTGCCTCAAGCACACCGTAATGATCGCTCGGGTTTAAGCTCTCTGAGGGCAGCGCCTGTGAATCTGTCGTGCGCGTTATTCACAGTATGCTGGTATCCATTCCTTTAAACGGGGGCCAGGGCCCCTCTGTGTAAATATAACATCGACCTGTTTATTCATAAACCCAGGTTGGAGAGCTTTGGGTCGTCAACAGCAATTTTACGGAGGTCGTGACTGTATGGAAACATCTTGAAAATCGTTTTCCTTTGTCAGATTTCAAGGGCAAGGGGGGGGGTCTCATCTTACAGGCACGTGGAGTGAAGAGGGAAAGTCCTCTGGATACTGTCCCCTTCCCTGATCCCCGTCAGTAATCACTATTAAGAGTTAGGTGTTTCCTTTCAGAATTTTCAGTCTCCTTTGTCTGATGTAAGTGTTGCTACCCCAGCTTTCTCTCGGTCTCCTTCTGCAGGGCATGCCTTTTCCCGTCTCCTCACTTGGAGCCTGCGTGCGTCTAGCTCCGGAGTGGGTCTCTTGTAGACAGCGTGTACACGGCTCTTGTTTCTGTGTCCATCCAGCCAGTCTGTGTCTTTAGGTTGGAGCGTTTACTCAGTTTACATAAGGTTGTTATTGATATGTATGTTCTTACTGCCATTTTGTTAACTGTTTTGGATTTGTTTTTGTAGGTCTTCCCCCCACCCCTTGTTCTCTTTTCTTGTGGTTTGATGCCTAGAGAAGTTCCTTTAACACTTGTTGTAAAGCTGGTTTGGTGGTGCTGAATTCTTTTAGCTTTTGTTTATCTGTGAAGCTTATGATTTCTCCATCAAATCTGAACGAGAGCCTTGCTGGGTAGAGTGTTCTTGGTTGTTAAGTTCCCCCCTTCCATCACTTTAAGTATACCATGCCACTCCCTTCTGGCCTGAGGAGTTTCTTCTGAAAAATCAGCTGATAACATACAAGGGAGCTCCCATAGTTTATTTGTTGCTTTTCTGTTGCTGATTTTAATATTTTCTCCTCATCCTTAATTGCTGTCAATTTGATGACTGTGTGCCTCGGTGTGCTCCTCTTTGGGCTGATCCTGTGTGGAACTCTGTGCTTCCTGGACTTGGGTGACTGTCTCCTTTCCCAAGTTAGGGAAGTTCTCAGTTATTACAGAATTTTCAGATCTTTTCCCATGCATCCACAAACCCACACGCAGACACAGTGCTTTGACATTAGAGATGCCTGTGCGTAAACAAAAATGAGGTGCATGTGTATGTGTGTGCTTACCTTGATGTGTGTGTGTATCCGAGGCCATACATACACTGCTCTGCAACCTTTAAAATTCATTTTTCCTTACTTACGCAGTAAATGGATACGTTCAATTCGTGAAAACTCAGGTGTCTTTGACTTTCTCCCTTCCACCAAGCTGTCCACTGTCATCAGTTTGCTCCTTCTGGATCTGTTTCTGTGTGTGTGTGTGTGTGGAGCCTAGTGGCCTGACTTTGTATGTTATAGGTACTCAGTCAATATTTGTTAAAACCGGGGATCGTTGACCCTGGAAGAAAATGGACTCACTGGTCCATTGGCACCTTGGCCTTACCATCTGTTCTTCCATGCCCCCTCTTAGATAATTTGTGTTGCTCCTGCCTCCTAGGGTTGGCAGGCAGACCTGTTTACTCAATACCGTGAGCTCTTGGAACAGAGATGATATTCAAGCTGCGAGCAGGGTCTGAGAGAAAGTAATTTTGTCTTCTCTGCCTCTATGGAGAACTTGGTCAGTCTGGTGAAGGTGCAGCCTAAACCTGTCGACCAACCCAATACCTCAAGTGTTCTGTGGGTAGCCAGACAGACAGACACAGCCAACAGAACCCAAATGTAATCAGACAGTTCCTAGAAAAAATTAGAATTCTTCACTAAAAAGTTATAACTAGTGCATCAACCAATGGTCTCATGATAGTAATATAAAGTTTCTCTTCCCTTTTCTTTCGTCAAGAAATAAATCTATACCTTTCATCTTTATTAGGTTAATTATTTTGTGGTCAACCAATACACTTTTCAGTCTGTTTTTAGTATGTAAGTTTTGGGTGTACAGCATGATAATTCGACCTCTGCGTGCATCGCAGAGCAAGCACCACGAGTCTGGTGACCGTCCTTCGTCATACACTCGGCCCCCCACACACTCCACCTGCCCCCAGCCTCTCCCCTCCACCACCCACTCGTCTGATCTCTGTATCTATGAGCTTGTTTTCTTTTACTTAGTTTGTTCATTTGGTTTTTTTTTTAAAGATTTGACATATGAGTGAAATCATATGGTATTTGTCTTTCTCCGTCTGACTTATTTCAATTAGCATAATACACTTGAGGTCCATCCATGTTGTCACAAATGGCAGGATTCCATTCTTCTTTATGGCTGAGTAGTATTCCACTCTGTGTGTTTGTGTGT